TGACAGGTTTTATTAATATGACATGGGGCAGGCGATAACAATACGTCCCATTCATTTCCTCCTGTCCATCTTTGATCTAATCATCTTCGTCACTAACTCTTGATACTTACGATATCCTGCCAAATGGACCAAAGGCAGCTTTGACGTCTTCTGTAGTTATTTCTGGGCTGAGGTCTCCAACGAAGACATGAAAATGATCTATCGGAAGGAAAAAAACACAGTTAAGAAATGTCAAATGTTACGATGCACATTCCATTTCAAGCTTTTATACTTTTTCAAGATGGTGACTTCCTGCACAGAATTGCTGATTTTTATCACAGTTTGTTAATGGGTGGAGGACAAAAGGAGTGTCATTCCAGACATGTAAATGAAATGACTACATAAAATATATATGAGCATATATGCAATGATAATCGTTTACTGTGATTTTCAATCTTTCCAACCCATCAAACTTTCTGTGCTTATGAAACAGACATTTCAGACAACAGACAAGTACTCATATGACATTAATACAATATCTCCACTGACAAGTGCTTGTACTTACTACTTGTGTCTTTTTTCTGGCTGGTTGGTGTCGTGGCCCAGTTGACTTTAACCTCCTGCAGAGAGGGGCAGAGAAAGAACAGGCCAGGTGGGGTATGTTTATATCATTTACAGTGAAAACTGGTAATCTCCACTACAAGGGTGTTTGATTTAAAGGTTGCCTTAAAACTACTTAAAAATTAAAAGTAAACTTTAAAAGAGACTTTAAATTTAATGTGATATGGTACCTTATCACTCACTGCCCTGTGTATGTCCAGTGACAGTGCAAGAAAATTCCTCTTTAATCAAATCTTACAATCTAAACTCAACATAATTTAAACAGCAACTGGTCTTTAGTAGTGGATTTTTTTTTTTTAGCAAAAAGCAGAGAACAACCTCGTTATGATGTGTATTACAATGGCAGGCATGAGCCAATAACAACAAATCCAGATATTGTTGACCAAACAAGTGTGGTTGCTCAGTTCAGAGCCAGTCATTTGATTTTCCAGTTTATGTCCTAGCACTGAATCTAGAAACTCAACCTATTATTAAACCATCCAGCACCACTTTAATATTCTTTTGTAAGGCCTTGTAGTCTTTTAAATGTTTGCAAATTAAAATGCTAATGTTCTGTTGTTCTAGATAGCCTGACATTGTCCAGCTTCTCCCAGACTTTTTGTTTTGCTATCTTTCCAATGTAGCTTACATGATCTTGAAAATTATTGACAGTACAGCTAATCACGGCTCGTACAGTGGACCCCAAAATTATATTTCTATTGTTTATTTCTTCTCCTCGAACCTAAATTTCCCTTAAATATGACAACATTCCTCCACACCTAACACTACAGCTTATATATTGCAGGACCATTAGGTTTAAGAGGCTGCAATGAAACCAATTTTATCAAACCACATGACTTCCTAACAGTAGTAACGTTCTTAAAATGTTCAAGATCTGATCTGGAACCTGGATCCAGAAGCTTCCCAGTTGGAAACCCCTGTCTATGTAATGGAATATAAATGCCAAATATTACATTTTGTTGGTGATTTTTTTTAGAAGGCACACACAAATCTCCCACACCCGAAGCCCACCCTTCCCAACTCACCCTGTAGACACGATAGCTTACCTTACCCATTATTTTCCTTCCATTCATGGCTGCCAATGAGGCAGCAGCATGCCTGTGGTCATAGAACTCCACAAAGCAGTACGGATCATTTCCAGCTGTCTGTCAACGGGAAAACAAGACTGATATTAAGTCCACAGCAAAGGTGACAATCACTGCAGATGACCACCTACTGGGGGTTTGGGGTGTCAGGCCTGATATAATAGACTGGGAGAGGAAAATCAATATGAAGCCCATATGTCGATTGTGACTTTCAAAAGCAGCAACACCATTCAGGTGTCTGCTGAATGTCATTTCCTAGAGTCAAACAATATATACCAGAGGGGGGGGGGACACTTACATCAACTATCATTTTACAGCTCTTGCAGGGTCCTATCTGTGTGAAGACCTGCAGAATGAGGGGCTCGGTGACGTCCCTGGACAGATTCCCCACATACCTGCAAACAAGTAGAGAGATGGAGGAATTGAGTCTTTGTCAAACAGGAAGTAGCATGCAAACAAAGGCTAGTTAACCGGCTAGCTACAACCCACAACAATTCCTTATATTCACCTAAAAACAACAATGGTGGCGGACTAAATACTAGTGTGGATTGTCTCAATTTTGTAAAAACAACTCGAGTATGGTCAGCCCCTTACTGGAGATGTCCCGGACCGTCTCTCCGAGCGTTGACGTGGCTTGTCTGCCAGCTAGCTAAAGATAACGCTAGCCGGCTCAAAGGGCCTCATGCTAACTGGTTTGGTAACTACCGTTAACGGCATTATATAAAATCACATCCCTACCGCAGTGATATAACTAACGCCTGTATGCTGGTGATAAAATAAGACTATTTCTGAGAATAAAGCTATCATTCAATAAAAACATGTGCATTTTAGTAAAAGTGACGGGCTAGCTGCGTTTGCATCTTCAGCTAACGATAACTAGCATTAGCTCGCCCTGCAGTTTCATTTTCAGGCGAGTTACGGTTCCGTCTATTTATACGACCAAATCAAACAGAACTTAACGCTCAGGGGGGAAATGCTGTGTGTCTTATCATATCTGGAAACGACGCTATTGTTGCTATGGGGTGACAACGCCAATGAAATTTCATTTTGTAGCTAAATTACAGTGTTCTGTAGTTTTTAATTGAAACAACAACGTGGAAACATTTCGGACGCGCCGTGGTTACACGGAGCCTTCCCAATCCAGGACATAGACAGGGCCGCTGTTACTCACAAGGTTCTGGGTTGATCGTCCTCCATCGTCAAGGTTTAGTGGTCGCGTCCTGAGAGCTCTTTAATCCAATGACATACAAATGGTTTGTGCTGAACTTGAGCGACCGCGAACGTAGAGGCTATATCTACTAATTAATGATAAATCGGTGGCCGATTCTGCTCTCACACACACCGCAGACAGCCTCAGTCTGATGCAAACAATAGGAAGTTGAAGATGGCGGAGGAGCGGCGTCAGCAGCGTCAACCTGCGCGCTGAAATGAAGCCAGAATCAAGCGCTCTTTCTCCCACACACATTGATGTGCCTCCACATCTGTATAGCGTACGCTGCAAATACAGCGAGTTTTGTAGCTTTACACAACGGTGCAGAATAATATGTATCATTAGCCTATTCGTGGTCTTAGCTTTATCGACCAACGTGTAAAAACATTAGAGTAAATTACAGCTGGACACATCTGGGACATGCATGTAACCCAGCCAGACGTTGGAAGGTAACCTGCAACGGAGTTGATTTAAAGTGATTATTATCATACTCGCGTCAGTTTAATCAACTATAGGGTCTATATTGTAACGTTGTCATTTTAATTTACTGTTACCGATGCAAAACACGTGCGCCGCCCGGGAATCGAACCCGGGTCGCAAGAATGGGAATCTTGCATGATACCACTACACCAGCGGCGCCGTCGCAGTAAGTAGCGAGATTCCACTTTATTAAGGCAGCCTACTGCAATGCGGGAATATGGTCCACTACAACATTGTTAAAGAGCATGAAGTACGAAAACAGTGTAAAACATCTATCACTGCAGTGTATCGAACGATAACCAACCTCAATATTTGGGGCAAATGTTAAATAGAGAGAATGAAATCGTCATTGTCCTAAAGCTTGACGATTCCAGTTCAACCTTTAATACAAAGGTTCCCCTGCACGTGAAAACAATTTTATTTCAAGGAGAATCAAAATATCAGGAAAGCTCAAACCAATAAATAAAATGCTAATTGCTGTGTTTTTTTATGTTGGAAAAGAATATGATATGCTATGGAAAGAGGGACTCCTCATCCAACTTAATAAATTGGGTGTAAATGGCCAGTTGTACAACTGGGTGTTAGATTTCATGTTTGGGAGGACAATAGCAGTTAAATTTGGCACAGAATATTCAATATTCATAAGTCCAGGTTATACAGTTTTGGGTGGATAGGGAATGCTAAGCCACAAAGGTAATCCAAAACTAAGCCCCACTGTTCCATCATCAGTAATACCTCCCTGGAGATTCATCATGCCATCCATAGATATAAGTCTGCAGCAAAAACTAAAAGATAAATCTAAACAGGTACCAAAGGGGACAGTGGTACAAAACTATATCAACCAACGTCATAAACAGATATTCATATATATGGAATACAGACAGTTCAAAAGATCCTGAGACAGGCCATACAGGTGCTGCATTGTTCATCTCACAATGTGACATAGCAGTGAAAAAGAGAGTATCAGAGCATTTGTCAGTATACACAGCCGAATTAATAGGAATACTGTTAGCGTTAAAATGGGTGGAAGAAACCAATCAATCTAATTATTGCTTTTGACAGTTTATCAGCGCTTTCAAGCATTAAATCAGGACAGTCATCATGCAGGCAGAATATACTTTATGAGATACATCACAAACTATATGAACTACATAATAGGGAATCAGGTGTCCCCTTCCTTTGGGTTCCTTCTCATGTAGGGGTGGAAGGAAATGAGAAGGTGGATATATTGGCAAAACAATCGTACTTATGTGACACAGGAAGACATCTTTATAATATACAAAAACAAATAGGCATTGGTGGATTACAGAGCAGGAGCCCGTCTGAGAATAGGATACACAGGATTAAATCAAACACTCCATATCATAGGCTAACACCCTACTGGACTGTACACTCATTGTAATAAACCGGAAACTGTCAAACAGTCTCTGTATTAATAGACTGCAGCAAATATAACCATGAAAGGAGTTAATTAATATCAGCATTTCATTCGGAACACAATATCACATCTACAATCTACTTTGAAAGAAATGATTGTATTGTTTCTTTTCCTGCCAAGCTACTGCTCCACACTCCAGTCCAGCAGGTGGCGGTAACCACTGCACCTACAAGCTGGTTTACCAACCGCCATTAAAACCCGAAGAAGAAGAAGAAGAAGAAGAGCGCAGCATCTTCATAGCAGTCGAAGAAGAACCAAAATCTAGGAGGAAACATGGCTTCCCCTGCTGGTTGCGAGCACTATGTGCGCAGCTGCTTATTGAAAGTGAGTTAACTTTTCGATATGTATTGTTTATATGTGCCTTACATGCACATTGGAGGCATGTAGGTGTTGAATGTACCACAGTCTAACTCTGCTGTAATGGCTCGTGTTACTGTATGGCTCCGGTAGCACTCACAGCTAACTAGCTAACGTTACCTTTACGTTAGCCGGTAACATAGCAACTGTATCGTTACGACATATTAGTTACTGTCTTATGTTTGTATATGTTAGCTGCACAATGTTAAGTAAATGGCGAAGGCTTTAGAGTAGAGTGGGTGTTGGATTATCTTAGCTGTATGTCAAGTTGGCTTATCACTGACTGTCATATGACAGAAATATCTGAGCGTATAGGCTCCCCGAAAATATAAGCATAATCTGTGAGATGAGTGTGATTGACATACCCACCATGCACCTGCCTATGTCTCATGTAATCACTTGTTTGTGTGTATTGCAGGCACCGTGCTGTGGTAAACTGTATGTGTGTCGGCTGTGCCACGATGCAGAGGAGAACCACCAGATGGACCGGTTCAGAGTCAGAGAGGTGCAGTGCTCTGAGTGTCAGACAGTGCAGCAGGTAACTGAGAGGAACGGCTTCTGTCAGCTGGAGCAGGACCACTACTGATCTTAAATGTCACTTTGTTCTTTATGTTGTATTTGTGTGTGTGGTTCACGTCATGATAAAAATAACATACAAATGTAAAATGTCACTCTTGTAGGCACAGCAAACTTGCCAGCAGTGTAATGTACAGTTTGGGGAGTATTACTGTGACATTTGCCATTTGTTCGACAAGGATAAGAAGCAGTACCACTGTCAGCCCTGTGGAATATGCAGGTGAGCAGTAGCATATTGTAAAAGCTTGTTACAAATCTTTTTACACTTATAGTGGACGATGATGACAATGCTATGGGGATGTGGTGAATAACCTTTTTAAAGTTGCACACAAAATTTGTCATTTTCTGTCTACAGTAATTCAAGAAAACTACCAAAGACAAAATCACAGTGTTGCTATGTTTGCTTTTATCAAACTTGTGTTAAATTTCAGTGTTTCTTCATCTGCTAACACAACAACCAAAAATGTCAAATCTGTTTTCAAATCTGCCATAAGACGGTATTCATTGGTATTTCATGTTGACAGTGCATTTTTTATTTATTATTTTAAAGTAACTTACACAACTCAGTGTTACTGTGAGGTTCATTCTGATGCATGGGGTGATTGTCATCCGTGTCAGTGACTCTGTGTTGTGACCCGTACAGGATTGGGCCCAGGGAGAAGTATTTCCACTGTGAGAAGTGCAACCTGTGTTTAGCCCAGGATCTGCTGGGAAACCACAAGGTGATAATCACCCTGCACCTGTTTCTGACCTACACACGTCGTATGTATTGATGAGCACTGCTGTCATTTATAATGATTTTTTTTTATGTTTCAGTGTGTTGAAAATGTTTCAAGGCAGAACTGCCCAGTATGTATGGAGGTAATAGAACATATAATACATTAGGAGGGAGGTTGGATTTGAATACAATCCTTTACTTTCTCTACATTTTGATATGATTTTCTTTTGTATGTACAGGATATTCACACATCCAGAATTGGAGCTCATGTTCTTCCATGTGGCCACCTTTTACACAAGTAAGACTCATTATTCTCTAAATACCAGTAGCTCCAGTTTGTGGGGTTGAATTGTATCCCAACTTTAGGTACATTGTAGGAGAAATGCATAAATCTAGAACATTTCTAGGATTTCTATACAGTTATTAAAGAAGAATATGATATAAATTCAAAGATAAATAGCAGATAATTGAAAAGGTATTAAAATAATGTTGATGATGTAGACAGTTAAATCAAAGTATCATATTTTCAAGCTCTCCATTTCCATCAAGTAACCTTCATAGATAATCATAGTTTAAGATCTATAATGACATAAAGGTAACAACAAATGTGTTTGTTCACATTCTCTGCAGGACCTGCTTTGATGACATGGTCAGAACGGGGTATGTCTAATAAGTCCTTTTTTCCCCTTGGTTATTGTTAAGTTGAGTACAACATGGTCTTGTTCTATATTTGTTTGACATACGCATTTCAAGCATTGCTGGAATAGCTGAGTCCTGCATCAGTCAGTGCATTTACATGTAATTAAGTAACCAGGCGGTAGTCGGCTTTCTCCAACAAGCTGAATTCTTAAACATTGTGTAAATGAGAAACCGGGGATTAGGGAAACCTTGTTTCCTTTGGTAGATTTTACCTGGGGAACGATTTCTCTGCCATGTATTCACAAAACTATGTTACTGCTCTGCATTTTACATGTGTGTTATAAAAGACTGCAGACAGGGAAAGTAGCAGCTGAGTGATGGATGAAAGGAGAGAGATCATTACATCCAGTTATGCATCCTCCAAGTCTGACTGAAACTGAAACTAACAGAGTTTGTTTCCGCCTCTGAACATTTGAATTCTGATTACTGACCTGCTGCATGTATATACAGATTTACAGTAACCAGGTTACTGCATGTAAGCACGTTCCCTGGTTTCTCTGAGTATCCTGGAGAGGCACTGAGTCGGGCCTTCCACTAAATCTAAGTTGCCTTTTTGTTTAAGTGCATATCGCTGCCCTCTGTGTATGCACTCTGCCTGGAGCATGGAGGACCATTGGGATCAAATAGACAAAGAGATTGCCCAGTCACCGATGCCCACTGAATACCAGGGAGCTACTGTCAAAGTAAGACCCCAATGATACAATCAAATTCAAATGTAAATATTTTGGTTTAGTTTGGTTATTTTTTAGATATGACATGTCCAATTTTTGGATTTGATTAAATCCCATTTCTACAGATAAATTGAAGGTGACCTTGGTGACCGTTACAAGTAATCACCCAATTTGGTGTATATAAATTTGTACTTTTGTTTTCCCTCACTATAGATTATATGTAACGACTGCCAAGCCCACTGCACGGTGCCTTTCCATGTTCTGGGGATGAAGTGCAGCAGCTGTGGCTCCTACAACACAGCACAGGACGGGGGACTCATCCAGCAGCCGATGCCTCAGCAGCAGCCAGAGCAGGACACTGAGAATGAGCCAGAAACAGACACAGAACCACAGCAGCAAGATCAACCTCAGTCACCCACGCCACAGTAAAATGACAGCCAACCACAATGTGTGACATTTATACTTTAGACATTTGGCTTATGTGTGTACTTACACTGAGTGTAACAGTAGACTGAGCCAGTGTTTCTACATTGTACATATTACAAAACAAAAAATCATCTATTTTCTGTACCTGCTTATCCTGCCTGGAATGTATCCCAGCATGCACCAGGTGAGATGAAAGGTACACCCTGGACAGGTTGCGAGTCTATCACAGGACTTAGACATATCCACACACATTCACACCTACAGGCAGTTAATAAGGGCTTTTCACAGTGCATATTGTGCATAAGAGCTGACCCTGGATGCCCTTTTTAACTCAGATTTAACCTAACCTCAGGGCTTTATGATTCAAACGGAACATGTGACATAATGTTTAATTTTTTGTTTACGCTCTGTTTACTATAGCCTGTTTCACACTGGAACCATCTAGCCCTGTGTTCAGTCGATTTTTGGGGGATAACCCTGCAAACTCTGATCCAACCCTGCTCCAGAACAGGGTCAGCACCAGCCACCCTGGGCTAAAGTCCGGGTAACAATGTGTCAGGATTGTGTGAAAGCTTTCTTAGCCAGAGGTTCTAACAATGCTTTTAGCCCTGGAATAAGTGCAGTGTGAAAAGCCCTTTAGCCCATCTCACCACCCAGGAAGGTCTTGCTGGGGGGGGGGTGGAGGAGGAGGAGGAGGAGGAGGAGGAGTCTAACCACTGAGCCACTGTGTGGCCCTATGGCAAAAAAAAGAAAAAAGAGCTGGTACTTCAAGTGAGAAAGTGCTGTTGTTGTTCAGGGACTGTTTCATATGTCCTGTTTAAATTCACTCAGTAAGACATTGTGTGCACAAGGGTGTGTGAGCTTGTCATATATACAGTACTGTATCTCCACCAGCTTTGATGTGTCAGATTTTTAAATAAAAAAAAATAAATTAAAAGTAGCCCTTAGGCAGAAGTCAACATGATAACAAAGTAACTGACATTGACTGACCTGCTGGCAGCACAGCACAAGACAATGTGCAAACCAGGTGCTTTTCTTTGTATAAATGCCCTGTGACTCAAAGATTAAACAGATCACCTTTTTCTAAATTTGACTTCTTAGTCCATATTTTAATTACGGAGTGTGAATGCCACTCTTGTTAATTGTTTATTAATAATTGATGCCACAGGTGATGTCTTTTAAACCTGTCATGTTATCTAATTGTTTATCTAAAAACAAAGCAAAACAGACCAGTACTCTGATTTAAGCTGTGAATTATTTATATTATAAATATTTCACAAGTATGTATCTAAATGTGTCTGTAATTTAGATGATCAAAATAAATTACTGACTAGGCCTTTAACCTGCTCATTTTCTAAAGCCAGCCAAGAAATGTGGTTTGTCTGAAATGTGGTAGTGGAAATATGCCTTGCCTGTTTGTCATGATAAACTACTGCAACACATGCACCTTTTGAGTATTTCCCTCTCATACATACATACAGTGCTGTAATGGCTGTAATGGCTGCTGTGACGAAAGGGCCTGATTTCCAGTACCATTTGCTTTTTGTGTCTTTATTTGCAGGTGTAAAGTTTGGTTACCTTTACAATGACAGTAATACAAACTCCAAATAAACAACATCATTTTACTAAACACTGTTGTTGTATTGTTTTGTGTTTTCTTCTGAACCAATCTTTGAATTAGGGATTAGAACATTTATTCACATTTTCATGTCCAGCTGCTCATACAAATACATTTGAGGTGTTTTCAGCCAAGGTGTTGATCCTGCAAATCAGCACTGCACTTCTACCATGGTTCAAACATTTATATTCTATTTATATAGCAGTCGTGTACATTAGCACCATTTTAATACAATTACCACTGATAAAGGAAAGGTAAAATCAAAGTAAAAGTGTAGTCTTGATATTTAAACTTGGTACTACTGTGTACAAATGTTTGTTTATAGATATGTATAACTACATATAAGTCGGTCTTTTTTGTTGAACTTGTTCTGTTTATTTATACTATTAATCTGTGTTTGTACATTGAGAGCAATGTAAAACCAGAGTCAAATTCCTTGCATACACATACCTGGCCAATAAAAGTGATTTTGATTCTAATGATAAAGACTCAGGAGGCCTATATGTTTACCTATATGTACAACAATAATATGGACTGAGCCTGTAACCTGAAGTGGATAACTTATCTGGGTCAAATGCTATCTCCTCTAGGTGGATCAGGCTCAGGGGTCACTAACTGGAAAGTGAAACAAACAGGAACACCAGTCAGGGCGGTTCCGATGTGGACTGGCAGGGGTGGGGCAGTGGAGAATGGTGGAGTGGCACCCTGAGGGAATCCTTGGTATGTGGTGGTGGTGGTGACTTGTGGTTGATTTGTGCCATCGGTGCCTATGATTGTATCGGTTTCTGTAAGGTGTGGTGAGAACTCTGTGTCAGCGTTAATTGAGTCCTGTGCAGGATCAGAATTAGGCATATCCTGAGAGACGTCTACACCCAGAGCGGTCTGTGAAGGGTCATCTGGCATGAGTTGTAAAGCGTCTGTGTCAGTGGAGGCTTGTGGGTCCTCAGGCATGGCTGAAGTATTGAGCATGGCCGGAGAAGGCCCTGCAGAGGGTAGTGGGGCTGCAGTGCTCGGGGAGTCAGTCTCCTCCACGGCATCAGACACATCTGTGTCTGCGAATGCCGGCTGCAGGGGTTCCTGTGAAGGCCCACGATCAGTGGCTGCCTCCTCTGATGAATCTAATTGACTGGACTCTGATGAATCTTCACCCTCATTCAGGCAGAGCTGTTTTCATAAGAATAATAATAATGTTATTAACCTTTGTCACAAGTTCTCTTAGATTCCTTTATAGTGGTAGTAGCAGAATAGTAGAGCTACTCACTGGTTTAGACAACACTGCAGTCACCATGAAGACAGCACAAAGTATAGTCCTCAGATTGGCCATTGCTGTTTCTGCGGGATTCGCTGAAACAAACACATTAGATTGGTGGAATTCACTTTGGGCATCTACTTTACCACATTAAATACTCTACTTCTATTGACACTACATTTAATGACTATTATCTGTTATTTTGCATATTATAATTCATCATGCAAAACGTATGACCAGCTTCTGAAACATGATGCATTGTTCAGTGAAATTTAAATTTGAGTTTTTTTCCCTTTAAAGGGTAGAAAACTTCCAGTGCAGTAGCAATATTTCAACACATGTTCAATGCAAATCAACTTGTTTCAGGAATTCTTCAATGGAGTCTTTTTCATCATCATAGTGAATATATAATACTATATAATATATGAAAAACAGGTTAAAATATTCTAGCAACTCTGCAAACTAAAGTTTTCAGGAGTCAATTACAAGATATAGTTGACTCCTGAAAAGATTTCTAATTTTAGACCGTCCAGTACTTCATAAAATAGTCAATCAAAAATCAACTCCACCTTGAGCAGCTACAAAAAACAATGCTCATACATGAAGTTTTAAATATCCTATCTTATAAACAATTCTGAATATTAAGTACTTTTGATACTTTAGGTACATTTTGCTGATAATACCTTTTTATTTTTACATTTGTAATTCTACTTTTAAATAGGGATCTGAATTCCACCATTCAGTTAAACTGAAATGTAAATGTAAGCATCTGTTAACAAAATACAGACATTTATACAATATACTGTAAATTTGGCATAAAAATTGAGCTAAAGCAAAAAAAGTAAAAAAATTAAATCGTGGAGTATTATATTTGATAATATTGCATTCCTGCTTGAAGACCTACCTTGATATGTTGGGTATCCTCCTATCCCTGCATATACAGCAGAGTACTTCTGAAATGTCTCAACGCTGACACACGTAATGCAATAAATGCTAATTTCTTCTCCGTCCTTGCATTGGACATCTTTTTATACAGCTGTTGATATGTGTGGTTACAATAAACAAGTAATTCATCCTCTGGTTCATGTCCTTAGCATTATTCACTTCAGCCCGGACTCACTAACAATTCAGAGTAAATCATTTAACACCCCAGACAGAGTAAAATTAGACAGTGCTAAAAATTCTTAGAAGATAATAGGAGAATAAGTACACCAGATGTGCCTATTCATAAACAAAGTAAACATGTGTTTTGTGGTTTGGGTGTAAACAATGGGGAGAATCCGGTTTAGTCTTTAAATACATGTCATCAGAATGTCTTGGTAAAGTCTCATCATGCATACTCATTGCACTGCAACTAAACACACATTATTTGGGTGGCGGTATTATTTTTCTACATTATCAGTCTGCTGGGAAATAAATATGAAATTAGTGGATACAGTGGCAAAAGGCTGAATATGCCATTTGTCCACAGAAATAGATGAATAAACTAAAACAACATACCTCCCTGAATTCACACCAGTTCCATGTCCCCGTATCTTCATTTATTCTCATAAATTACAATCACAGCAACAGTCAATGTAGAAGAAATTACTTCACCATATTTATGAATATGAGCAACAATTCATGCGCCAACACAGGTAGTTTGAACAACAGCGGCTGATTAGACTTCTGCTTAGGATACATGTGTGATTTGTCCCACCCTAAAAGGTGCAGCCGAGTTAAAAGGAGGATGAGGGACATTTATGTCTGCAGTGTCTCTAAACCACACAGTGCTCTAATCAGCGTAAACAACCACCTGTGTGGGCTAAACCACCAACAGACTCAAAAACTCTTTTGTCCCCCTGGCCATCAGACTGTACAACAGCTCTTAGTGAAGGCAGGGAGGACAATAGACAATAGGACAATGTCTACCTCCTTTTGCACATCCATCTGTACTGTTTACTTCCATTTGCACTGTTTACTGTAGCTACTGTGTTATAAGTTAATTCTATTTAAATTTTAAATTTTATTTTAATGTAGGTTTAATGTATGTTTAATGTATGTATGTTTCGTATGCTACTGGATACTTGAATTTCCCTCGGGATAAATAAAGTATCTATTTATACCAAGTGAAAGTACATTACTCAAATTGTATCCCACAGGCATGCACTGTTTTACATACAGTATGCTGATCACATTTTGTATGTAAATGTTCATCTGCAAAATAACTAGCTGTAAAAAAAGAAATGTAGTAAGAGTAGCATTTTCCTCAAACAGTAAAAAAGTTTAATCAAATGTTAATATTTATGTGCTGTATGTTAAAACTGTCCTTTCCTGATTGACTAAATGTACTTAATTACGTTCCACCACCACACCAAACAGCACTTTAGCAATAGCCATTAAAACAATGTAAAACAAGACCCACAGGATGTGGGCATGCTAAAACACTCCTAATTACAATGCTTACATGCTGATGTTTGTTGGTGTTTACCATGTTTACTCCCTGAGTTTAGCATATTAAACATTAACATTTAGCACAAAACAAAGTACAGCTGATGGGGGCGTTTTTAGTTTCGCAGGTATTTGGTCATACACCAAAGTACAGGACCATGGCGTTAAATAAGAACTTGGGATGAGTAAGTAATTTCAATTCAAATGCTAACATGTGTTTAGATAAAATTTGATGGCAAATTCATCCAGTAGTTGATGATAAAGAACAGCTATCTTTTAATTTTGTGTTTTGTGGAGCTGTGACATTTAGTTGATTAATCAATTAGCAGAAAATTAACTATTTTGCCAAATTCTTTTAAGCAAAAAGGTCATCCATTCACTGGTTCCACCTTCTCAAATGTGAGGATCTGCTGCTTTCCTCTATTGTACACTCACTGTAAACTTTTGAAGTGGTCATGCCAGGCTCTCTATTGTTTGGCATTTTATATGACCGATAGAGAAAATAATCTGCTGATTAATTGATAGTGAAAATTGTTAGTTGCAGCCTTAGTCTTTTATGACACATACTTTATGGGGCACATCTGGTCACACAAAAGGAACAATAGGGAGTGTTTTTTGATCAAGAACCCCAAGCAGCTGCCACAGTCTCCATCCTTTAGATCAGATAATACACAGCTATTTTCTGTACTTGAGGTCTCTCCTCCCAGGAGAGAGTTTGAGGTTTCTCTTTTGCTTTCTTCAGTGTTAGATCCTTGTCCATCACGCTTAATGCTGAATCTTTTGGCAACTTCAGGATGATTTACAAAAGGACAGTCCTGGTACTACAACCACCAACCAGTGTTATGAAAATGTTCAAGTTGGTACCATAACTCGTGCCACTATGCATTACAGTCCATGTCAAAATTTTGACATTGGTGGTCTAACCAACAGGAAACAATGCTGAAATAACTTCACAGGAAACAGCAGAAAATGCAAACAGTTTTATTTAAAACGCTGCTTGCCCATGAATCTGCCTCAGTCCACAGAAGATGCCACTTCCTGCAAAGAAAGAAACCGTTATCCCACAAGCATGGTAAGATAAATTGGGAACCTGCTAGATTATAGAGCTGTTGGGAGGTCCACCTCTGGTTTGACTGTGTCTACCGGGGAAGGTTGTGTACTTGGGGTGGTCTCAGCTTTGTTCTCCAGATCAGTCATACTTGTTTCCTTCGCTGCTGCTGGGCGAGCTCTCCTGCAGTAAGGACAAACAAAAATGTAGTCCTGTGCTACCTCTTTATAGTCAGCTGTTGCAATACGCGGCAGACATTTCACCGTATACGCACAGTCTTCACATGTAGAAATACGCTCACTGTTCACATCAACCTTCCTAGAATCGGTCATTGGAAGTCTGCCTTGACACAATGTTGCGTCCAAAAAGGGACATTTGATGCCATCTACTCATCTTTGGCGGCTCTTTTTGCCACATTAGCAGTGTATCTCTGGCATGGCAATGTCAGTCAGTCCACCACTTTGGTCCAGACTGAAATTTATTAATTATTGGATGGATTGCCACAAAATGTTGTACTCTTAGTGCCACCATGAGTTTGAAACTTTTTTTAAGCAAATGCCATGACAACTACTGGATGAATTGCCATGAAATTGGATTAAGCTGTTCATGGTCCCATCAGGATAAGTTTTTAAGTTAACTTAATTTAGTGCCAAATACTTGCAAGGTTAAAGTCATTCTCTCAGCTGTACTTTGGCAAGTGTGTTTACATCTTGGATAGCATGCTAACATTTGTTATTTAGTGCTATTAGCACTAAACCAGACATATATACACTGAACATGCAAGCACTGCCACTGTGCAAATGTTAGCATTTAGCACAAAGCACCACTGCTGCCCAAGTACAGGCTCACAGAACGACTAGCAAATGTCAGACTACACAAGTCTATATGTTTAATACTGTGATAGATGTTTTCTTCTTTCTTCTGGTGTAGTTGCAGATTGCAACTCCCTCGATTCACCCTCCCCTTCCAAGCATGGAGGAGAAACTATGGTGGCCGCAAAACACGTGAAAAATGCACATGCCCCTAAATTGAGCCAGTGTTTATTTGTCCCGTCTGCTAGTGTAGAAACATGGTGGCTCAACAGGACTCCATGACTGTGACCCGCGACATCTGTAGATATAAAAGGCTCATTCTAAAGAGTAACAATTCCTATATACAGCCAATTATACACCAACAAAAACAGTTATGGATATTTCCATTTCTGCCTAGGGAAACTGTTTCACCCTGGACCTTTAATTAGTAAGCAGACAAACCTTCTGTTGGCACTCTTCCTCCTCTTAACCACCACTGCCATCACAGCAATGACCACAACTCCTGCACAGAGCCCTGCAGCGCCATAGACAATGGGACCCTGCATGGTCTTTAGAAGATGGTCTTGACAAGAATCTCCACTGTAGCCGAGTGAACACACACAAGCAGAGTTTCCAGTGGTCTCCACACAGCGTCCGTTGCCACTGCAGTGTTTCTGGCTGCACTCCTGGGCAGCCAGGTTCCTGAGCTGACTGCTTTCATTCAGGGTGGTGTTAGGGCCAGAGACTCCAGAGAGACCAGGAAGAGGGGAGGGTGGAGGAGAGGAGCTGTGGGCCCAGGTGAGAGCAGGAACCTTGGCTCCTGACCACTGCTTCACACTAACACCTAAGAAAAGATGATGGTTTCAACCAAAAACCCAAGGTGGTTGTTTTAGATTAAAAGATATTACATGTACTTAGTGTATCATGATATTTTCCAGTTCGCATTAAGGGCGATATAAAAAAAGACTCACAGTTCTCATCTGAGTGGTCATAGCAGTCAATGTGCCTGTTACAGAACTTCTCAACAGGTTGGCATGAGAGTTGATCCAGACAGGGCCTGGTGCCACTTGGGCAGCGCTGCTCCGGGTTGCACTGGGTGTCATGCACAAGTATGTGGTCATGTGCACACTTGCATGTCCGACCTCCTGGGGTGGCGAGGCATAAGTGCTGGCAGTTGCCGTTGTCTGTGCACTGGTTTGAACCTGTAAAAAAAAAAAAAAAAAAAAAAAATAATATTTCAGCAGTAGATGACATTTACCACCTCAGTATGCTCCAATTTGAAAGACCCTCTAAACTGCCATCTGAACTGTTACGGTGTGTGCTTTTCTCACGTACCTGTCTGACTGGAGTTGCTGAACGCCTTTAAGCTGACCATCTCTGTGCCGACCTCAAACCACAACTTGCTCTCCTGCTGCTCATCTCTGTACCAGAGCCTGGTTTTGTCTAAAGGAAAGAGCCAAGACAGTCACACTGGTTGAATTTCAGACTTTTTTTTTTTTTTTTTTTTAAACCATTCGTCATGCAGGCATCGTCTTGTATGTATTAAGCTACTGATGCATATTACAAAAAAATAAATTATGTAAATTACATGAACAGCACCACCTCCTGATTGTTTGTACACACATGGTGTCATTTCATTTAGTAGATACTATGAGCCATTACCACGGACAGTCATCCAGAGCAGTGTGTCATCACTCAGAGCCACAGCAGCCAGGCCATCACCAGTCTTCAGCTCTCTGTATCCAGATCCATCAAGCTGGACAGAGCCAATGGTCCCTAAACCTAGGAGGCAATCCAAGCTACCTTACCGCTTTTCTAAACAAATTACAGCTTTATTCCACAGCATTTTTGACTTTCAATGCATGAAACACATCTTAGACAAAACTTCCCAAACCAAACACACACAAAAAAAAAATATAATACTTACTAGTGTCAGCCCAGTAAATTGTATCCCCATTACTGGAGAAGACCAGAGATGCGGGCTGGACAGCATCCTTCCACACCACACTCCGCCCAGCACCGTCCATGTTGGCACACTCTACAGTAGCCATGGTACCTGTACCCTGCAGGCCCAGGTTGGTGAAACAAACCCTTCCACTGGGAGGGTGGAGGGCGATGGACTCCACTCTGCCGATACCTTCCTTTATGAGAACAGCAGTGTGTGCAGCCTTGATAGAGGTGACCTGCAGGCGAGGCTGTTTGTTGCTGCTCCAGTAGACGTTAAGTGTTACCCAGTCCAGGGCCATGGCGGTGATTGTGTCACCCAGGAGTTTTAGAAGCTGACCCTGGGAGGACAAGTCTGAGTCCTTCAGCTTGAAGGAGCTGAGTGAAGTTGTGCCATCATCCGTCAAGAACAGGGTGCGGTCACGTAGGCTGTAGTCCATGATGGCTGCCTCGTTGACGCTGTGCACCTGCAGGGCCAGGTGTTCAGGCCAGCCCTTCAGCTCTGCAGCTGTGTGTCGGGACTGCAAATAGATCTACAGACAGGATTGGGATTAAATATACATGAATCTAAAAATTGCAATGTATAATGGGAATATTTTTAATAAACTGACACATGACAAATTGCAAGTTATGGCCACTGGAAGTACAGCTAACTTGGAGGTCAGATTGCAAGAAAACAAAAACAAAATCTGATTCCATGTGATTTGTGCTGTTCAAACACTCATGAAAAATAAATTTGATCTCAGTTGTATATGAGCAAAACTAACTACTACTAGGATTTGGGTCACTTTGGCCTGCAGTGTAAAAGGGGCCATAAAATACATTGTGAGACTTCTATGTATTTTAAGCTTAAGGACTAGTTAATCATTTGAGGGAAATACACTTATGTACACTATGTAGCTGCGGGATAGATTAGCTTAGCATAATGACTGACTGAGAAACCGGGGCAAACAGCTAGTCTGGCTCTGTCCCAGCAGCTCCTGGTCAGTAAATAGTCTGGCACATAATCCTCCTATTAAGCTATGGTAGGTGATGCATTTCAGAAGCATTTTTCGTATATTTGTTGAAATTCTATTTACATCCTATCAGAAATCAATAAATCAAATGTTCAGAAAGAGAATAAGTCACAAGCTCCTCATAAGCCTAGTGCGCTGGCCAACCTGCCTGTCTACCACCTGTTGTGGAATGTCTTATTTTCCAGAACTGTATTAAAACCATGTATGAATGAGACACGAGGTAGTTTTATATGGTTATCGATGACATGGATGCGCTGTGCTCCTCTCAGGCACTACGTGTTGGGGGATTGGCTTTTGAGGAGACCTGAAGGGAAGGGGTGGGATTTATTTTTGGTTCGATACTTTCAAAATCTAGCCATCTCTTGCTACTTTCTTTAACGTGTACCAGCTTTAAACTGGGTATTTTTTTTAATTTTTTTTTACAGTTTAAAACATTTAATTCATATCTACCATACAGATCGGTGTGGTATCGATCTTCTCATCTAACTCAGAAAAATGTCCAACTGTTCCAAGTATATTCAGTTAAAGCAAATTAGACCTAGTGTAACTACATTATTAGTACAACCTGAGTGACTGTGGAGGGAGACAGCATCAGCATGAAAGCTGAATTGACCAGGCTGGAGCAGGTCAGGCCATCCTCGGCCAGTAAAAGACCAGAGGGACACTTGCACACAGCTTTGGGTCCTGGGGCTAACACACACATGTGGGAACAGTCCCTCTTCTCACAGGGGCTCTCAATGCCCATCTGAAGCAATGGGTGGATGATCTGCAAACCAAGCAAGTAAAAAAAGTTTTAACAATGTTTTTCTGCACTTTACAAGTCATGCTGATAAACTGAAATATTACATCTGGTACCGGTTTGTACATTTACAATTTTAAACTAGTTCTGCAACCTTCCCTTTAGCGACTCCAGCTTTTTTTATAATTTCCCAAACTATGCTAAAATGGGTCAAGTGGAAAGCTTCAGATACAATGTCATAGCTGTGTGTAGGAAAATTAGCAAGCTGCTGTGAGCACTTCACACATGTCAAGTGATCAAAGTTTAGTTACAGTGTTTCTATTATACAGTACTTTCAGTAATTTCCACTTGCGCCTATAGATTCCTAATACTGAACATTTTAATCACCTTTACACCAAAAGGTTGTCTCTGTCTTTTCAGGAGAACTTGACGATTTTTGCCAGAGATTTTATGAGCAGCCAGCACCACTCGCTTCTTGGTATCTGACCAGTAGAGCATGTCATTGAACACTGCCAGGGAGAATGGGTTGGTGGTCCATTTCATCTGTAGAATCTGAAAATGACATTTAGACATAGCACATTTATTATTTAGGAATGTGACTTAGGCTTTAGAGTGTCTCTTGCTTTTACAGGAAAACATGAAATTTCATCCATCTATGCTCGGGCCATTATGGAAAAAAACTCCAATGAAGTGCTACTTGTGTGGTGCTCATAGTCATAAGGAGGCCAGAATGACCTTTTGCTGGTAGATTAAGCAGAGTTGTAGTGTTTGAATGGGTTTTCAAGAGTCAACAACACGCTTTTGGATAAATGCAACTAAAATCCTCCTTAACAGTAGTTTACCTGAATGTCATCTCCATCCAGCGTTGCAGATCCAATTGCCCTCAGCCTTTCATCTGTCCAGTAGACTCTGTCAGAGATGGGGTCCACAGCCACACCACCAGGCCAGCCCAGACTGGAGTTCACCACTGCCCTCCTCTCTGACCCGTCCATCCCAGCACGCTCTATCTTCACAACGTTACCAACCTCTGTCCAGAACATCAGCCTGCAAGGAAAATTAAAGGCTATGAATGCCAGTCTTAACATTGTAGGACTGTTTGAACGGTGAAATAAAACCATATTGACCCTTTTTGTGGCAGCAGTGCCAGAGAGCGAGGCTGATCCAGGTCTTCATCCAGGATGACGCTATGGTCCAGTGACTTCACAGTGGTTGTGGCCAGTCTGATGGCAACAATCTGACTGTTCACTCCATCGATCCAATACAGGTTCCTCCCGAGCCAATCCACAGCTACAGAATCGGCCCGCACGCCTGTGAAAACAAAGGGCCTGTCTTGAGGACGCATCCTCATGCATAACAGTCGATGCCTATTCCTCTGCATTAAATATGTCAGATCTACTGGTAATACTCCAACCACATTTGTTTTACACCTACCTTTAATCAGAGTTCCTGTGGTCTTCTGGTCCAGCAAGGACCACCTGATGCCCTCAGTGTCAAGACTGACCCAGAAGACCCTCTGCTCCCTCCAGTCATAGTCCAGGGAGAGGATGGCCTTTTTAGCACTGGAGGACAATACGTCTAGGCTGCCACTGCGGAGGCCAAACATGAAGAGGTCGGTTTGGATTGACGCCAACAGGAAGGGTTCACCTGAGGGATGAGAAGAGAAGAATGGTGGCAATAGAGATATCTGATGGTTTGGTTTAATGAATACATTCATTCCTTTGGACCATTTTAACGCAGTGCCAAAGTGTTACTCTAATATTAGACTTAGAGCAAATACATGTTTAATGTTTTCACTGCCAATTCTTTTGAGGTAGTTTTTAATATGTTTATTTGATTACTTACGTAGCATATTAAAAATAGGGGGAAATGAGCTTGCTTGGCTCAGTCCTTGTACAGAACAAGATATAGCCTATAAATTAATGAATTTCAGTGGTGCCGTTAGGTGGATTTTCTTCAGTTTCACTTTGCTTCTAGTCTTTATGCTAAACTAAGCCAACAGTCTCCTGGCTGTACCTTTATATTTAACAGAAAAACATGTGGCATCCCTCTTCTTGTCCAACTCTTAGCAAGTGAATTGCATAAAACCTGCATGTCCCTAAATGTTAAACTATTCCTTTAAATGGCTATATATTTGTACCTCACTTTGTTTCTAATGCTTCCCTCCAAACACTGTTATATGGCCTACTAAAGGTTATGGTCTGCCAAAAGGACCTTACCTGTGATCTTGCAATGGTGTCCACCTGCCTCCATTATGTAGCCTGGGTGACAGCTGCACTGGTATGAGCCTGGAGTGTTGATGCACAGCTGACTGCACACACCTGGGCTCCAGCCTTCACACTCATCAATATCAGCACAGGTCAGCCCGTCGTCCATGAGCCTGAACCCTGCTGCACAGTGACAACGCTACACAACAAGAACCAAAGTATTAGTTAGAGGAGCTGAAACATTGTTTAAGTTTACATTTAAAGTTGTTTTGTTTTCTTCATCATATAGTCATGATATTTAATATATATTTTCACTTGATCAGAAAATAATCCATAACGGTCTCTCAAACTTCACATTGTACTGCTACATACACTAGTTTTAATTTGTATTTCTCCCCATTTTAAGCCACCGATTTGAGAGACAGTTCTACTTCTTTTGTTAAATTTAAAAACACAGATACTGGGCCCTCACCGTCCCCTGTGGCGTGCTGTAGCAGCTCTGGGAGCAGCGGCTGTTATCTGCCTCTGCACAGTTTATCTGGCAGCTGCCTCCCTCGTCTGAGCCATCTGCGCAGTTGGTAATGCCGTTGCACACCAGGACTGGATCCAGGCACTCCTGGCTGCCACACTGGAACTGGTGAGGGAGGCATGTCACCACCGTACCTGGCAGATACAGACACAGACACAGACACAGGCTCACCATTTTCATGTTAAAACACAGAAAAACACATTTTGAACCCCCCCACAAAAACATGTCAGGTTTCTAAAAGCTCAAACATCTTGATGAAACTGCATGTAGAGACAGTTTTGTATTATGAAACTCAAATGTATCCTGTTGTAAATCATCTTTAAAAACCCTGTGAAATAGTGCATTTATCTGCAGCTTGTTATATTAGTAAATGCCAATGTAGCATGGGCACTGAAATAGCTCTATTTGTATGAAGGTAGAGCACCTTTAACACGTGTGACTGCTTTTTGGCATTTTTGATTGGATAGTACAGAGACACTAAAAGAGTAAATGTAGAAATAAGATAATAGTCCACAGCTGGATTCAAACTGGTGATGTTGCATTAGGCCATGACAAAGCTCTCATTTTACTAAGAATCAAGCATTGTTGCATTTCTTTTCACAATCAGTGAATCGTGTTATATACTGCAACTGCGCAACTACTCACATTCAGTCTCATCACTGCCATCATCACAGTCCTTCATGCCATCACACCTCCAGGCTGTAGGGATACATTTTGTCTTGGATTTACAAGACCACTGGAACTCGCCGCAGTTCAGTGGAACCATGGGACAATCCTAAAGAGGAATGGATTCTTTTACTGTTGTCTAAACTGGAACATTACAATTCAAAGCTTTTGGGTCTATGTTTAGAGAAGAGTACCTGCCTTTAAAAACACTGCATCAAGAATTTGTATATACACATCAAGTATTATTAAAAAAAAGTATTCTAAAATAAAGCTTCCACCTTCTCATCTGTGCCATCTTTACAGTCCTGATCTCCGTCACAGATCCACTCCTGCAACAGACACTCCTTGCTCTGGGTGCAGCGGTGTTTTGTGGTGCAGGCCGGTGCGTTGGTGCAGCTCTCCTCATCTGAGCGGTCCCAGCAGTCTGGGTGACCATCGCAACGCATTGTGGCTGACACACACTGGCCACCGGTACACTTAAACTCAGTGGCACTGCAGCCCTCATCCGCTGCAGGAGAGGGAGGGGGGGCAAATATCACAAAGACATCCTTTACAAGCAGAGCTGATTAATACAGTGAGTAGATATCAACTTCCTGGTCCAATGATGGCGTACCACAGTTTGCCTCATCACTGCTATCCCAGCAGTCCTTCTCCCCGTCACAGAGGAAGCTGTTAGGAATGCAGCGGGTCTTGTCATCACATTGGTGAGCACAACCCTCCATATGTTTGGCGCATCCCAGTTCATCTGAGCGGTCCTGACACTGAGAAACGCCGTCACACACCTGGCTCTGCTCTATGCACTTCTTTCCATGGGCGCACTGGAACTGGTCTGCAGAAAAAAACATTACAAAACATGTAAGGAACCCCTCCAACATTTTGTAAGCAGCAACGGGCCAAAATTCCTCCAAGCTGATGTGTGGGACTGATCAACAGTTACAGAAAACCTTTGAAGTTATTGCTGCTCAAGGGGGGGTCACACAAGGTACTGATGGCAAATGTTCATACACTTTTTCCAACAAAAGATTATAATTTTTTTTTTATAACTTTGGTCAATAAATAGAAAAAAGGAAACTTATTTGTTAACTGTTCATGTACAATTTATGCAGAACATTCTAAACAGGTATAAAAGCACTGTATACTGCCACCTGTTTATGTTTACTAGTTATGATTTGTAATTATGTATTTTGTAGTGACAATACAATCCAGTGTCACTTTAGTGTCATATATTTTGACTGCATTCAGGTCAATACAATTACAACTACTAATGGTGCCCCTCACTTTATATCGGTACATAGTGTGAAGCCAATTTGCAGTCACATCTCTGTGGCAACATTACTCTAAACTATCCTGTACATTTAATGCACTTTAAAAGTGTTTGATTCTGATGTGCTAAAACATAAAAATGTAAATGCTACCCACTAGAGGGCAGTAAATCCATATGCTTAACCCATGTATCACACCCACACAAACCATCAACCAGATTACCCGTTTCACATGCTAATGAGCATTCTTCCTCATCAGAGCCATCTTTGCAGTCTGCTTCTCCATCACAGACATGGTTGTAGAGGACACACTCTGAGCCATCCTGGCACAGTTTAGAGCCCAGGCCACACTTCAAAGGACTGCTTCCAGCTGAGACAACTGTTTGGATCAAGTTAGCAGAAAAAGACAGAGTGACACACTGCTAAAGTAAAAATAAATACATGTATATGCACAGCTGTTGCATCCATCATGCTGTGTCTCAACTGAGAAACATCACTTTGAATACATCTTAATAAGTCTTATTTGGATATTTTTGTGGATGGTGTAAAAGCACTTTTGGTACACTTTGCTCACCTAGCAAGGGCCCTGACAACTGCAATAAGACTGCACAAAGAAACAAACGTCCACCCATCGCCACAGATAAAATAAAACGGGCCAAATGCTGCAAAGTGCTGAAGTGTAGCATTTTATAAAGGTACCAGGTGAGGCCAATACAACCTAATTGAACGCCTGAGTGAGGGGAGGAGCCATTGCCTCTCTCCATATACCATCCTGAGCAATTGTAGTTGTTACAATATGATACATAAACGGGAGTAAAAACATTCTAACTTAAAAATAACTTCCATTGATTTTTTAATTTTGTATTCTTTTATTAAAAATGAATATAGTAACTTAGTTAACGCCGTGTAAAAATGCTGAGTGAGAATAGCTTTTGCCTCCAAAACTGTGAGAATGACAGCTATTAATCAATGGTGTCAAATAAACAATAAGGTTTGTCAACAACATCAGCCGGTATTCAGAGTTTGGTTTCTTATAATCCTCCAATCAGTTTTTGAATAGGAGGGATTAAGAGCTCGTACGTAGCCATCACGTTTGTGTTGTTGTTCCGGTCTACCTAACCTAGCAAACTAGCTCCAGTAGCACTGGTAGCAACTTGAGAAGAGCCCACAAGCCTTGTCAAAATTAGCTGCAGTACAATACAGTTCAGGCTTTTTTATGTCGACGAGGTGTTTAGAGGGCTGTGCACATATCTTCCTCAAAAAGCGGAGCTTTGGACTTTAAAACTGGGGTAACTATTGAAATGCTTTTAGCTGTTTTCTTGACTTTGAAGCATGTTGTTTTGTGAGAGAGATGTAGGTCCGTTAGCCAGCGGGAGCCAGGGCTCAGTTTGGAAGAGTTCGTCCAAGATGCTAACTCATTTTGGTGCCGTGCTTATATTTTAGTAAAAGTAAGACACATTCAGTAGCTACGTTCAAATAAAACATTACAACGTTTAGATTCATAAAGTGACACATTGTTACTGGAGTAATTATAGCCTGGGTTTATTTGACAAGCTGACGTTAGGTAGCAAAGTAGCGCCACTCGACTGTTGCGCACAGGAGGTTTTTTCGTGGATCACAACAAAAGGATTTTTGATAACAAGCTGGCAGCTAGCTCAGTGAAGCTAACGCTAGCTGACCTAGCTAGATGAGGACTTCTCCACGACTTGCCTCCCATCTGCTTAGTTACGTTGACTATAGTGTTTCGCTTTTCGTTTTTAGCTAAGCCTATTTCAGCATTTTGCTGTAAAACACTCGCGCTAGTCAACTTATTGTTGTGATTTGAGTCAAGCAGGCCCCCCCACCAGGTAGCTAGCAGCCGGCCTTCCCAGTCAGTGTTAGCACTGGGGGGGGGGCTGCTTGACTCAAATCACAACAATAAGTGGGGGGGCTGTCACAAAATACTCTTCTTGTTCACATCCATTTTCTAACGATAACTGTGTAATTCATTATGTTCATCAGTAGCTGGTCGTGATTGCCTGTGAGCGCGGAGAGCGAGGCACACCCCGTGGGTTAACTTTACAAGTTTACAGGCTAGCTAGCTTGGATGTCGAGCAGTGTTTGTGACAAGCTAACGTCAAGAGGACATCTCTACTTGTTCAACTCACCAAATGCTTAACTTCACGAGAGGAATTATGTAACGTTAGAAACGCTGCTGCCAAAACAACCTCACTATTGTTTTCACTATTCGAAGTTTCATTGAGTAATACAGGCTTTTTTTTGGTATTGTTTTGAAAGGACTAGATATGGTTACTTTTCAGTAGCATGTTTTGTTTGTAATGATGTACTTTGTGTGTGACTTTCTCCCAAGGTGTCCATCTCTTTTGAGTATACCCAGCTAGCACTGGCTTCCACCCTGTGGCTCATTGGTCACTAGAGGGGCCCCATCAGAGCAAGGGCCCAAACTGTAGCTCTAGGTCCCCTCTGTCTGTGTGTGTGAGAGCTTGTGTTGAGTCCTCTGGAGACTCCCGGCTTGTCCAGCGACGATGTCCTCCATCTTGCCATTCACCCCTCCTGTGGTGAAGAGGCTGCTGGGCTGGAAGAAGTCGACCAGCGGCCCGGGCGGAGCAGGTGGCGGAGAGCAGAATGGGCAAGAGGAGAAGTGGTGCGAGAAGGCTGTGAAGAGCTTAGTGAAGAAGCTAAAGAAGACAGGCCAGCTAGATGAGCTGGAGAAAGCTATCACAACACAGAACTGCAACACCAAGTGTGTCACCATCCCCAGGTATACTGCACAGCACTAGATTCCTGCTGCTGTTACACAGGTTTTGGCAGTGGTGATAAGTTGAGACCTCTGCGTAACCATGAAACATTGGGCTGTTTACAGATGCTGATCTTACACTTCTGTTTTCTTATGTTGTCACAATTTCCTGCAATTATTACCTAACATGCAAAGCTGTGGGAAATGTGAAAAGGTTTGTTTAGCGATGCAAAATAGTAGAAAATAAAGATAAATTGCTCATTAACGATGAGCTCAAAATCAATCTAATCACTATTTGTTTACAACTGTACTTACAGTTAGACAGTTTGTGTTACTCTCATGGGGAGAGAGACATTAAAAGGGTCAGGGAAGATGTTCTCTTTATCAGCCAGCCAGCCTTGATGACCCAGACTCACGTTCAGTAGGAACACTGTGTTAACAGATTCATTCCCCACTGATGTGCAGCCAAGTACCACGTCAGATGTTTGTATGACTATAGATAGTGGGCTGGTTTTTATCGCCTGAGAACTGTTCTAGGCCACACTGTTATGTTTGTAGAGATGCAGTGGCTGGCTAGATGTGAATGAAATAATGTCTTGTAGAGGCGTGGACTGCGAGAGAGTCCCTACATGAGAGAGGGTGGGTTACAAACCTAAAATAATGCCAGATTGGGGCATTGCCACCAGCCTTATTTACATTGGTACATTTTGATTGTGATTGGGGTGCATGTCTACCCTGCTTGCCACCTTGGCAGGTACACATTCAACATTTAGATTGATTCTACTCTAAACACCTAGTTTCCTGCAGTAAAAATAGCTGTTGAATGTTAGGATCTACAAGCTGCTGTGGCTGGTGGATAAAAGTTGGTTTCCTGCCCTGTCATGAACCAGACAACAGCAATTTTGAATGGTAGTTTAGATCCCACTAAAGTAATAAAGTCTAGTACATGTTGTTGTATATTTGTAGCATTTATCATGTAGAATTTGTTATTGTCCTGTTATTCAGAAGCAACTTCTCTTATTTGTCCTCATTCCAAGTTTTTCCATTTCTTAGCCTTTTGCCATTTTCTTGTGAATGTTTTTGAGAATTGATTTTTTTTCCAAGGTTGCCTCCTCTGTTTTTTCCCCCCTCTTTTGTGCCATTGTGTGTCTTCAGTGTTTGTTTGAATGTCTCGAGATAAGTTATTTTCAGTGTTTGATACAATGCTACACTGTTGAAGAATGCTCTTTGTCTCACTCATTGTGTGTGTTAGCAGATTCCATGTTATATTTTTTCCCCTTAATTCTGTCAAAAAGGCTTCTCTTATTTGAAGTTCCCATCTTTCATTTCCACAGCTGAAAAATAATTTGATGTCTTTATTTTGCCATAAGACTCCAATAAAAGAGGCCTTTTAATGTTGACATTACCCATACTGATATTTCTGAATGAGCCATGTCCCATGTTTATCATTTGTTTTTTGTTTTTGTTTTGTTGTTTTCTCTGTGCACAGCAATTGCTCTGAAATATGGGGACTGAGTACACCAAATACGATAGAACAGTGGGATACATCAGGCCTATACAGCTACCCTGACCAAACCAGGTGACTATCCTCAACTATTGTATGGTGGAGTTGTCATTACAATGTTGGTGACAGACATTGAGAGCATATTTGTTCCTCGTTTTCGTCACCACTCAATCCTATCCATCTCCATTTTCCTCCCCTACCTGGCCATTATGTGTCACCCCCTTTTCCCTGTGTGTCTTTCACCCATCTCACCACCATCTCCTGTTTGCTGTTCAATCAGATCACTGGATGGCCGCCTGCAGGTCTCCCACAGGAAGGGGCTTCCCCATGTTATCTACTGCCGCTTGTGGCGATGGCCGGACCTTCACAGCCACCATGAGCTGCGCGCCATCGAAGCCTGTGAGTATGCCTTCCACCTAAAAAAGGATGAGGTCTGCATCAACCCCTACCACTACCAGAGGGTGGAGACCCCAGGTGAGACCCTGTCCAGTGGACATTTGTTACCTAAAACACGCACGTCTCTTAGTACTTCAGTGTCTACTGCATGATTGTTGCATGATTGTTTGAATCTGTTGGCTCCCACTGAGACTTGTACAGCTCGACTGAATGCGAAGCAAAAACATTTTAAAGACACTTGTCTGTGTAAAATGTAGTTTAATTTACCAGCAACCAAGGTGTTGAGATGAGTGTAAGTAGAGATCTGAAAATGGGCCAGTCTGTAATGCACAGCTTATGAAACGTCCTCCTTTGTGTTTACTTAAAGGAATAATTCAACATTCTGGGAAACTCATTTGCTTTTTCGCTGAGACTTAGATGAAAAGATCAATCGCATTCTTATGTCTGTATGGTAAATATAAAGCTAGAGCAGAAGCTTAGCTTAGCCTAGCTTAGCTTAGCTTAGCATGAAGACTGGAACCTTGGGGAAACGGCGTGTCTAGCTCTGTCCAACAGTTACGAAATAGGTCTACTGGCCCCCTTTTAAACACTCGCCCATTAACATGTTTCATCTTGTTGTTCAATCAATATAAAGACAACAATTTGTGGTTTTGTAGAGGGGTTATGTATGGGACTGCTTCTTAGGAGGACTCAGTGACTACCTGGAATCTTGTGGTCATCTTCAGTGGATACTCCTCAGAAAGTTCAAGATTAAACAAACCAGATATGTGGAAACCAGATGGCAGGCAGATATTTTTTGACCTTTTGGACACAGCCAGGCTAGTTGTTTCCAGTCTTTATGCCTTTAATTGTATCCTTTATATAGTATTAGTAGTATTATTAACAAACAGAGATGAGAGTTGTTTCAGTTTTTGCATCTGAGTCTTGGCAAGAAAGCAAATCAGTGCTTCTGCCAAAATGTCTAACTAGTCCTTTTAGAGTTTCGGGGGTGAACAATGTTAAAATCTGCAGTGAAACTTGCCTTAAACTGAAATATTAAACTG